CCATGTAATTTGTGACAAAATTGGAAAATGTTTGTGTATAAAAGAATATTTGAATTTACCTTAAGAACAACAGCTTTCATTTCAACAATTTAAAATCATTCTATAAAACACAATAACTTGGGTAGAGTAGTTTTGTTTGAAGATCAAACAATACGTTCCATGAAATAAGAAGAAATATGCATTTCCTTTTGCTAAAACTTCTGAGCAGATTTTGAATTTTTTTTATTGTGGTATTGTTTTTTGTTTTTCTGTGATATACGTTCAAATTTTTCATTACACTGAGTTTTTTCCCCAACCCTGTGCTAAAGTATGCCATAGGTTTACTCCGACCGAAGGCTCATGGAGCCTTTGGGAAACACAACGTTGCTGCGCGCCATCACATGGGCGAAGATAAACGATGAAAAATGGTTATAATAATAATAATAAATATCCCTATAGTTCTGAACGGACTTCTGAATATTTTAAAATGACTCTGTGATTTATTAGATCCTATCGCAACTTCATAAGGAGGTGTCTATTGAAAAATATGCTAACGCAAACTTATAAACAGTATGATAAATTCAGATTCGCGATGACTGTGTAGTCGGAGGAAGGAAACAAAGTTGGTGAAAAGTTGCATTTAAATGTTTTCAAATGAAAATATTTTTCATATTGCAGATAAATGCATATTTATATTTTTATAGAGGGTAAGGCGGGGCTTAAAGACAACAGGTGGTAAACAAGTAAAGTTAAGTATTTTCTAACAACGATATTTAAAAGTAGAGGGGAAAATATGTATAACCAGCATAACCATAAATCACCTTGATTTTTACGACATCATTGTCGGGAGATAAACAAAATAAAAAGTATTTTTCAACGTTGTTAGTGTTCTAGTTGTGAGCACTGTTGTTTAGTTAACTTCTACGAGGTCTGTTCAAAAAGTACCCGGAATTTTCGTTTTTTCAAAAAAATATTTATTTATTCGTCTACATTAATGTGGTCCCCTTCAAAGTAGTCCCCCCCAGATATAATACACTTATGCCAGCGTTTTTTCCAATTTTCGAAGCACCCTTGATATTCACTTTTTGATATGTCCTTGAGCACTCTCAGCGATTTTCTTCAATCGAGGAAAACCGCCGTCCTTTCATGGGTCTCTTCAACTTTGGGAATAGGAAAAAGTCACACGGAGCCATATCTGGTGAATTTTTGCACTTTGCAACACTTTATTTCATTTTTTACGCAAAATTTAATACAAATTCTTTGACTTTTCAATTCTTCCATTGTAAAAATCGCCGAGCTCAGAAAAACACGTCGAACCTTAGCGACTACCACAGACAAAGTAAACAGTGAATATAGCTGAAAATTTCATCATACTTTAGGGGCATGTATACCAACACAATAAAAAAAAAATTTTGACAATCAGACACTCCAGACCCGCGAAATTTAATTATTAGTAATTCCGGGTACTTTTTGAACACACCTCGTATAATTAACTTCCCGAAGGAGAAGTTTATGTTTTCATCAAACAATCCGATTTGCTAATTTTATGTTTTCTCGACGTTTCAAGCCATTCTGAATCGAATGAGCCCAAATTTGGAAAAAGTATGTGTGTGTGTATGTAAACAGATTTTTTGCCGTAAATCGACGTTTTCTCAAAAACGGTTCGACCGATTTGAAAATTTTAAAAGCTATTTGATGTATCTCGATGAGAGCTAGCGTTTCTGAGTTTTGTGCGACGATCGTCCAAGCCGTTTCTTTATGAATAGCATTAAGTGAATAATTTTTCGTCCACGTTTTAGCCCGCAATTCTGATTCGATTCTGAAAATTCAAAAACCGTTCGATAGATATTGGTTGGGAATCGTGCTGAATAGTTTTTATAGAGCTCGGCGGGGCCGTTTTCTTGCAATAAAGTTTTAAAAAAAAACAATTGACGATTTTTATGATTTTTTTTAACGTTAGATATCATAGTCTTCTAGATCATACTAAAATATTACCGCCCTGCGACAACTCTAGCTTAAAAAATTTGTCAAAGTTTGCAAAAATTGGTATCGTTTTTTGGCATTTGTCAAAATTAGACTTTTTATCGACGTTTGCTCAAATACGCCTGAACCGATTTCAGAAATTTAAAAGCCATTCGATGTATCTCTATGAGCACTATAGTTTTTCAGTTTTGTGAGACGATCTGCCGAGCTGTTTTTTTGTAATTTGCAAAAAAGTGTTAAACTTTTCGTCCACTTTTAAGCTCATTCTACCGAATCGATTTTAAAAAAATCGAAAACTGTTCGAAAGATTTAGTTAGTTAGTTTTAGGTGAAAATCTACCGAGCCGTTTTCTTATAATTAACTGTTGAAAAAAGAAATTTAAGCCGATTTTTATGAAACATTTTTAGGCGATGTATATCATGGGCTTATAGAACTTACTGAAATTTTACGGCCTTACGACAAGTAGTTCAATCTTAAAAATTCATCAAAGTTTGAGAAAATGAATAGTTTTGTTGACGTTTGTTAAAATTAAAATTAGACGATTTACTTGGTATAACAACAGAGTACTTGATCTTAATGAACATACTAAACCAATAAAGTCCTACGGAAACTGGTTCAACTACAAAAATTGTTGATTTTTGAAAATTTGCTTTTAGAAAATACTCCGAGTTAACGTGATCGTTCGTGTTCAATTATGTGTAATAAATCCTCTCGGAATACTTCTAATCACTCATAAATTAATTTGTTTATTATTGATTAAGTCGATTATTTACACATATCTGGAAGTTCATGTAACTTGCCTCAAGAATAAATACCAATACCAACTAGTTTGACATTTTATGAGATGTATTGTTAATTCTATGTTAGAATCAACAGTTTTTTTAAAATAACCTCTATAACTGCTTACGTGTGTGAAGGGCGTATAAAACAGCATATTCCAAATGGGACTTTAGGAGCTATATGTAATAGCTTTACCAACAGAATAAAAATTTGTTCCGCTGAAAATTAATCTAAATCAATATTAGTACCATTGTAGATCACCAATATATATATATATATATATATATATATATATCCATATATATCTATCCCAGTACATTTTGCCGTCGCCCGAGTGCGGCAGCGGCAGCGGCAGTCTCTATGGTGATACCGGCGGTACAACATGCGACTATTATTTACTGCCAAGGGACACACTCGAATGTGCGCGGACTTGGAGCAGAAATTGTTATATACGGTTATTTAGAAATCGATCCATTCTTATGACTGTGCATTCCTTTTCTTTATTGAATAGAACAGGCGAGGGAAGTGGGAAGTAGTTTTGATTCATTTAGGCAAGCCCCGGTATCGATATATCAGACATGGTAATCGAAATATCTATAAGATGTGGGAGAGTTATTTAGTTCATTACACATAAAAACCAGTGGGGCGCATATCATCGTGCCTTGAGGCAAATTGCTGGAATTTTCTGTACCGTAATTAAACATTCAAAAAATAAAAATAATCGGTCAACAAAAATGTCTATGAACAAATATTATAAAAACTAGAATTTGCATTATTTGTTCCTTGTGGACAAAATGTGAAAGCTTATGAGATTAGACGACGTTGTTTATATATGTTTGAATAAAATATATATAAACAAAATTTAATTAAACGGACTTATTGTTAAAATGAACATATTTTATTTCAAATGCATCAATTTCTCGTTCGCGAAATATATGCACTGAGTTAATCATTTTAAATTTTTAGTTTATCAGCTATACAAATACAAAAAGTATTAAAATTTTATTTAAAAAAATACTACAGACATGGGATTCAAACCCGATCAGTCTTGACTTTCTTCTCTAGTAACGCAAACGAAAATTGCAGTGACGTGCCAACCAACTCAGCTATAACCACATGCTCACGCACAACGTTATGATTTAATCGGAATTTCTACACTTTTTGCTTTGTATCTTGAAAACGAGTGGACCTGCCTATACGAAAAACTGATCAGTACGTCTCCACATCAATACGAATCGTAAGGATGTATAAAAATTTTTATTTTTGATTTTATTGCGATTACTGTAACCTACCCTGCGGGAAGTTAAATATGTTTAGATCGAATTTCCGTAAAAAATATTTATTTTAAATTTTATATCAGAATTTTTTTACATTTTATAATGAATTCGAGTAAATTGCTCAAACGATCTTAATATACATTTTAATTTTTCAAGTTCCCGAATGAAAAAGTTAATGTTTTTGCCACAAAATTGTATGAAGTCTATACAACTTGTCTTAAGGCAAAATGACACTTACAACTAGTCACATATTCATTTATTACTTTCCTAAAATTTCAACATAGTCTTCTGAAAATTGCTGCACTGTATTTTCAAGATTCAATAAAATTTCAATATAAACTTTATATAAAAACTAAAAAATAATTTTTTTTATATAATAAATAATGGTATGCTTTTGCACTTTTTTACTATTTCTATCAAAAATGTAGTTTTCTCAAATCGTAGTTCATGAAATTTTAAAGCAATTTTACCTAATACACATTTACTGCCTAATTATGCTTATTAAATAATACATCAGATTAAAGTTATATTTTGAAACTTGATAATTATGCTTTATACACACAAATACATTAGTTGCATCTTTGACTCTTTCGCAAATAACGTGACAATTTTTTTTTTTTTTTTGAATTGCGTAAAGAAGATTTTGACCAAAATTTAATTCAAGTATATTTATTGTAAAATTAATACATTCAAATAACTGAATATGAAATAAATTTTCTATTCAAAGTTCAAATCTTCTGATTCTGATAAATTCAAAATAATAAACTAGAACAATACTTGACAAGTTGATCGATCATCATAATTTCATATTTAAGTATGACAGTGTTATAATGCAATAAAATTTACTTTATTCATTGATGCTTTTATTATATTTATTCAAATGTTTAAAATCACATACCATTAGTATTTGCAAAAAATATGAAATAATTGTTACATTCAGTTCCAGCCAATTTAATTAGAGATATAGTCCACAAGTTTCCTTCACTTTCCAGGATTGAATCCTCCTTGATTTAAATAATCATCGTCGTATCCTGATCCAACTAGTTCTCCGTTGGCACAGGCATCTCCTCCTAAATTTAGACAATTCCTTTTTCTAAAAAGTGCATATTGGTATGGATTTAATGCCAAAAATTGCTGTTGATTTAGGAATTTTTGCCTGGCTCTGAATTGTGATATTTTGTTATGGAATGAACGTTTTCCTGGATTGTTGCCTTGATTTAGGTAGTCGTCATCTAATCCTAGAGTAGATAGTAAAAATAATAGATGTAGATGATAAAAAATATGGAAAATTGTTGTCTCCAATATTATTTTTAACTAATGACAAAAATTAATTTTTACCTGATCCTGGTAAAGATCCATTGGAACAATTGTCGTCTCCAATATTAAGACATCTCCTGGACGTTCGTTTTCCTGGATTTGGGCCTTGTGTTAGATAATTAAAGTCCAAACCAGAACCCATAAGATATTGGTATGGGTTATTTCTGTGAAAAGTTGGTCTAAAATTCCAAGATCTTTTTCCAGGATTTGATCCACCATTCAGGTAATCGTCATCGATACCTAAGGAATGAAATATGGAGAGTAAAAATTAATTTTTAGACAACAATTTATTTAATAAAAATAATATGGTCGGTCTTTGAAAGTGAAGTGAATTATTATAATAAATAAATTGATCTTCTACCTGATCCTGGTAAATCTCCAGTGGAACAACTATCACCTCCCAAATTCAAACATCTCTCATCCATCCCAATAGATCTTTTACCAGGATTATGTCCTTCTGTCAGGAAGTCATTATCATTTCCTGATCCAATGATGTCTTCTTCCAAAAGCCGAAATCTAGCAGCAATTTCCGCATTTTTTGCATCAATTACTTCCACATCATCAGATGGACTTCTAGTAGGTTTTGTAGAAACTTGCAAAACTATCGATGACACTGCCAGTAACAACAATATTGTTTTCATCATTTTCAAAAGCTGAATTTACGTTCAATTCTGAATTATATTCGAATCTGTTTGACAATGGTTGGAAATCTGATATTTATATAGTGAACCCCGGCACGGTTTGGATTTTTATCAATTGTAATTGAATAAATATATGATTAATCCGCATATGTCCAATTTTAATTAACTCGTGGATATTAACAACGATAATGTTACAAAAAGCTCATAATACAATATTGGTCTATGATTGCTTATATAGTTATAGGGTGGTACAAAATATCAGGTAAATGATGTATATAAATTTTCTAGAATTTAAACGTAATTCACTGTTTAAAAGGAAATCCACTGTATAAGTCAGATTATTACCGAAGATAACAATTATTTATTTATAATATGAATGTAATTATTCTAGTCGTTATCCAAAATTACAAAACCATACTTTTAGACTCTTTAAGCTTTGTTCACTCTTGTATTCTTCAAGTAACTTTTACATATTTCTAGATAATTTTTAAAACTATTTATTAAGAGTCCACTCCTGCGTGTTACTATGAGTAATATATGTTACTCTAGTACTTGAAATTAAATTAATTTTAAAATATTTTTTTATTGAAATTTTATCACAACATAAAAATAGTTCTCCAATGAATTGTCTGATATAAATGTCGATTGCCATCATAATTGTCTGGCAAACCGACTAGCTATGAAAATTATAACGTCATGAAAGAATTGCAAGTGATGTATAATTTTCATTCAATTTCCTCAAATTGTATGTTTTTTTCTATAAACGCCCTGTGCCGATGATAAAATATGATCATCGCACGCAACAATTGCTGTCGCAATAAATCGCCATGCTCATAGTTTTCATTAAATTTAATTAAGCCTCGAACCATGCGATGCTTTTTTGTCAAAGAGCCTGTCACGGGGAAATTTTTTTAAAAAAATTGTATGAAATTTTAAAAGACACTTGTCTAATATATATACCTTATCCAGGGGTCAATTCTACGATAATATAATATTGTGGTAACGCTAACGGTTCTATATTTGTATTAGTTGACAGTAAAAACTATCAAAACGCTGTTTATTTGCTGTGCGATCAGGCGTTTAACACATAGAACCTAACTTCACGTATGTGTTATCAAAGAGGCATCAGAAAGTTGCACTTATGATAAAATTGTTATTTACGTTTATGCGTTTTGTATGTTAAGTTTTAGTGTGAAATGCCTAAAAGCTCCGCAAATGCAAAACGTTTTGACAGTTTGTTACCACCAACTCATACGAACATAGACCCGCTTTATCGCATTATCATTACATTTCCATTTAATTTAGGAATTGGCACTTAAGTTCATTATATTTTTTATAATATAACATAATAGTTTAAAACAAAAAATGATAATTATTTAGGATAAATAATTATAATAAAAATTAAACTTATCAAAAAATAGTCTGTCCTCCAACGTGTGGATTAAATTTTATTATTTTGCCTATAAAAATATTAAAAAAAATATTTCATTTATTTTCACAACTATTTTAATTCCATTATAAAAACGTGAAATCGTTCGTAATTTTTCAATTTACCCGGCTATATCGAATTAAAATATTGAATTGGAATATTATCGGTCGTTAGCTCTTGGACTAATTACATTCCGTTGTTCGAATGAACGCTCGAGATTAATCAATTTTATTTATTTAATAATTATTCGCTTTGGTCGCTACTCACTCATACAAATAGAAATTAAATAGGGGAAACTAGAGTGATAGTGAAATATTTTGTTTTCTTGTATTGAATTTTGTCATAGTTAAGATAGACTTTTTTATCTGTTTAAATTTCACCCAAAAAGGACGAAAAATACATGTTGCATAAAATAAAACTAATTGCTGGTAATTAACTACTAATGTTTAACTCACAGCAAAATAACAAACAACTTATACAAGTAACTTTAAGTAAATTATTAGAAGAAATCAAAATCTATAAAACTTATTTGTAGCTCTTTAAAAGTAATGCGGTCTACAGATCGTGTTAATGTAGGACGCTGACTCAATGCAATGATGGAAACTTGTTTGTACAAACATACGTACTCGTACTTCATTTTTTATTCCCAGTCTCTCCTATTTATGCGGTTTTTAATCAGAACATCCTGAGTTTACATATGTTTTACTTTGCCTTTGATATCAAGCAGTAGTGACATCAGTTTTCATTCTTTAAAAGAAATGCGGTCTACAGATCACGTTAATGTAGGATGCTGGCTCAATGTTTTAATGGAAACTTGTTCGAACAAACATACTTTATCTTTCTTATTTGGATCCAATCTCAAAATCTGTACCCTGGAACAACTGCACCCAGTCCCTTCTACTCCCTTCCCTTCGTCTCCTTCTAAATTTGAGTTTCGGTTAGCCCGATATGAAGCAGTATTTACATCAGTTTTCACATATAATATATCGAAATTCAGACATGATTTTTTTTTAATTATTGGACTTTCAAATATCAAATCGAAACCAGATATGATTTATTAACGCATAAAATTATACAAACTATTTCCTATATATAGAAAAGCAGATTTTTTCTTTTATATAGTAAACATTTTATATCCTAACCTAATTGTTCTTGCATTAAATCAGTTAGGAATTGGAACAACAAAAATACTAGCATTTTTTAAAATAATTGCTGATTTGCTAATGTTTTAATTATATATTTTCCATTGTGCATAAAACACATATTGTTCTACAAAATTTTCGATAAAAATTACAAGTAATATTATAATTATTATTAAAAGTTGGTGTTTATATTTACGTGTATTTTGTTTCAAATATTAAAAAAGCAAACTATCATAAATTTATTTTTCGATAAGCTCAAAGTGAAAATTGTAAAAAATAGGATTAGCAAATAATATATTCATATCAACTTGCAGGTTGAAAAAAATTGTTGTATTTTACGTCAATATATTTTTTTCGTATTGAATTTTACATAAATAAGTTTTATATAAGATAATCAATAGTTACATACTTTATGATGTTGCAATAACTAATTAAACCAAAGGTACTACACGTCACTGGTCACATTTACTGGGCGATCATATTATTCTGTTGTACCCTAAAATATAAATTCATTTATATACACGTATATATATATATATATATATATATATATATATACATTTGTGTATTATATGTCCGTTTTTTATCGCGGTAGGCCATACGCCGCTCGAATATTGATTGCTATTTTACATACGCAATCTACCTACAATACAATAGAAGAACAGGGGTACATAGTATTAAATTTGTATTAGTATTTATTTCCATACAAACAGATTTTTTTCCATTTTGATTATTGATTCGAGCCGTTTGTTTATTATGCGTATTTATTATTTAATCAAAATTGTTTAATACCGTTGTCAATGACAGTCGACGGTTCAATGGAATTATTCAATTAAAATAATCTTCATGTGTTATGAAACAAGGAGAAACGATTTGACAACCGTCATCGTTTGTTTTCATTTTTTTATATAACAATGGAAAAAGATTTAAAAAAATAAAATTCGAATTTGAAAGCTGAAACATCGAAACCAGGCTCAATTATTTTAGTGATGGTATTTCTAATTTTTCCTTGATTGGTCATTTTTACAATATGATAAAAGAAACTAGTAGTAGTACATTTATAAATGTCTAGAGTTACACACAAATGTAAGTTTATCATCATTAAATATTTTAATAGAAATCTTTAATATGAATACCTGTGAATACCTGTTACCACGCAGGTACCTTCGTCCATTATATTACCTCATAAAGTTGCGTTAAATATTCTCAGCTAGTGCACGCAGTTTATTACGGTTAATTTAATAGATCCAGTGCTGAATTCATTATTATTTCCATCAACCAACCCTTCTTCTTCATTCCAAAGTTTACAGTCTGAGAGAAAACTAGGCCGACTTGCTTTATATTTCATACATCGTTCATTAAAGAAAGGACAAATTCGAGTAATGTTCATATTTTAATTAAAATAAAAAGACTTGCTTTTTTTTAAGATAAGATAATATTAGGAAATGCATTTTTATCCGGAGAATAAGTTTATGTTTTTGCCGGAAGCGAATCGAACCAAATTCAGAAGGCACTTCTAGTCAATGATAATTTTATAACATTTAAATAATATACATTTATAAAAACCTTGACCGATCAGTTGCGTCCCCTTGTTACTTGCTTACAAAATATTGTCAGCACAGTTGCCAAAAAGTTTCTGTGTTTTGAAATCACGACCCGGGTGCCAAAGTAACCGGGCCGTTGTCGCATGTTTCAGGTGTCGAAGTAATCATTTAATAATTGCCTTTTTTTATTTTTTCAGGTTGTGATTTCTTGTAAACACATCAAAGATTGTGTTGACCCATGGATGACTTAGATACATCCAAACATTATGAGGGGTAAGTGCTATACATTTTTTATAGTTATTTGCAATTTTGTATAAAATGAGAAAGTGTAGATTTTTGTGTCCAGTATCTTGATTACATCCTGTCGTTCGTTAATTTGATTTGAATTTTCATTTAAATCTATTTTGACATTAAACAATATCCTTAATCTTAGCTGCTTAGCAAAGCATGGCTATGGTTTTCTCCCAGACGAAGAGAACTCTCCTAGCGTTTAATCATTAAATATTAGAAGCGGTTAGAAGCATAACTAGAAGCTCTAGCAGAACCGAAAGCATAGCCTTGTGTTTAGGAATTTACTTTACTTACATTTGTGTTCCATTCCATTCATAATCAGCTTGCGAAAACTTGTAGATCGTATATAGATGCGTGCATTCGGCATAGTAGGAGAGACTGGATACATTTGTGCGTCTAATTTACTAGTTAGCTAAGAGAAAAGTAAACGAAATGGTAATTTGAACTATGTCTTCCTTATACTTTACCTCAAAATCAGTATAGTATACCACAATGTATTTATTTCGGTACAACATGAGAAGAAATTGGGTTTGAAATTAAGATTCATTCCTATGACATTGGTTTTTGGGATTGCAAGTTCATGTACTGCAAGTTTTT